CCCCAATGCGGCTGAGGAGCTGCAGGACTCAGCGAGGCATCACACATAAGTTTCCGTTCGTTACAAGCTAGCGGTAGCTCGAACGGCCCTTTGCATTATCGCAAAAGAGGCGTCGAAGGGGTGTGCTCGAGAGCCATGGGGGTGAACCAGACACGTTGAAGGCGTAATACGTGCGCCTGGCCTCGGAAAAACGTGCAACAGCACTGGCCAAGCTCTCTATTTCTTTGCTGATGCGTCGTGGGCAAGCTGCAGCGCGATGGAAGGTCAAAATTTGGTCTTGACGGGCCTTGGTGAATGTCGTGCCTTTGCCCATGCTTATCGCGGCTCAAATCCAAGTGTGAGCTGCCGATATTGGATACAAGGGTAGAAAAGGCTCAACGCAATCAAGTGACATGCGACTGCGCTGCGTTTTGCTTGTTGATCGACTCTAATCGGTCGATTTACGCCCCTGTGTCCAAACTTCTTTCGCGGGTAAAATATCACTTTTTGACGAAAAATCGCGAATTCTCATCCGGGACGCCGCAGATCGGCCTGCAATTTTGCAGGTCGATGCGTCACATTCTGACGCTTCTACTAGGCTAAAAACCAGCGAAAACAGTGCGGTACAGACATATTTTCATCCAATGAACACAGTGTAGCTAAATTTATTGCGCGCATTGTAGTCGCATGATAGCACCAAGGCCTTGCTACTGCTCCATTCGTCAACGTGGACCCAAGCTCATTTGGCGTCAATTTAAAACAAACGTGCATTTGGATTACAAACACAAAGTCACTCCGCTTTAGAGACGGCGGCGAAGGCGCGCCGAGGCACTGTCGGCACACTCGACCGCGACGCTGAGCGTCTTGAACGTTCCGTCGCACGGGTTGCCAAAGACCCTAACGACAAGATGAGTACATCTGCTGACACAATAACCAAGAAGTTGAATATGATATGCATAATAGGGTGTTCAACGATCCGTGCCCCGGCCTTCTCAAGTCGCTGAGCATCGAAGCGGTGTGCGCTCCTCTCCCGCCGACGCCCGCACCGACACCGGCACCGACGCCGGAACCGACGCCCGCACCGACGCCGGAGCCGACTAGCTCGTCCAGCGGCTCAGGCTCTACGACTCCGTCGCCGACGCCGACTAGCTCGTCCAGCGGTTCAGGCTCTACGACTCCGTCGCCGACATCGACTAGCTCATCCAGCGGTTCTGGATCGATTACACCTTCGCCGACATCCACCAGTTCTTCGAGTGGTTCGGGCTCGACTACGCCTTCGCCGACGTCGACAAGCTCGTCCAGCGGTTCGGGCTCGACTACTCCCTCGCCGACGTCGACCGGCTCTTCGAGCGGGTCGGGCTCTGCCACACCGACGCCCACAGTGACTAGCTCATCCAGCGGCTCCGGTTCGACTACTCCGACGCCGACCTCCACTAGCTCGTCCAGCGGTTCGGGCTCGACCACGCCATCGCCGACTTCTACTAGCTCGTCCAGCGGCTCCGGTTCGACTACTCCGACGCCGACGTCCACCAGCTCATCCAGCGGCTCCGGTTCTACCAC